AGTGAAGTTGGAGCTGCAGTCTGGCGCAGCATTGCCATTTGCTTGCTATTTCAATCCCTTTTCACAAAGCATTCTCCGAGGATGCTGAGCAACAGGAGGGCAGAGGCAGCTGCTGTTCATTTACACGTTCGGCGTAAACAGGGAAAGGATTCAGCATCGCCACCGCCTAACCCAAATAAACAACCCTGAGCGAGGCCAGCGCAAACAGGGAAAAATGATGGTGTTGGGTCTGTTCTGCTCTATTATACCCCAGCACAAATGGCAGGTGGAAAACGGTGCCCACACACTCGGTCCTCTCCCGCCTGAACCCCCGTCACTCGGTCTCCTCCCTGCTAATGTGGTTCCTCTCCAAAAACCCAGCAGTAAAAAGCAGCATCTCTTCAGTCAGCTGATTTGCTGTCTGTCTGCATCCGTCACATCTGCTGGCTTTAATGACGTAAATCAGCTTTTATTGCTTCTCACTTAGAAAACACAAAGAGGAGGCAGCTGAGAGAGTGAGCTGGATGCTGCTCCTCCATCTTCATTTTCTATAGCGATGCTTACTATGGTCTGGGCACTTCCAGCTGTATTAAGCCACTAAATTTTGGGGGCTGTACAGATGTCTCTGTGAATATGAAAAGACTGGTAGAGCTTTCATTGCTGGCGTGGAGCCACGAAAGGCAAAGAGCCCCACTGCATCTCAGGTGCCCAAAAAAAATGCTTACAAAGCCAGTGCGTGGAGAGAACAGCTTTTCCTCATGCGCTCAGCGCCCCATGGCCAGTAAGCACAGGGTTTCACAGGGGCTTTTTGCACTTCTCACTGCAGTTCAGACACCGTCAGCCTAGCACCCGTGGGGGCTCTCCTTGTTAGCTCAGTTAGCACGGGGCCCTTGGGCTCGGTGTAGTTGTAGGGTCAGCTTGTCGCACTGAAAGAAGTTCATGAACGACAGGTTTACTGTGAGTCCTTTCAAACGAGACCCAGCAAAGAGCTGGTTAAACAGGGCTGGGTGAAGGCCCCACGGACCTGTCCCTGTCCTTAAAAGTAAAGCACAGCTCATGAAGGGGGGGGTTGAAGTGTATTGCACTCTGTTTTAAAAGGCTGAGCACCCATCCGCCTGCAGCAGCTGAAAAAGGGCTATTATGTGCCAAATCATCACTACCTGAGTCTTTTATAAGGGATGTATTTTCTCTCCAATTCCCTGCCATAAAGAGCAACACCGCAGGAGTCAAGGAAATCAAGTATTTCTCTGTCTGGATCAGAAAGACATCAATAAAATAAAGAGAACTTTCTGCATCTGTGATTTCCAGGCCCATACACCCACAAAGAACACATTTTCGTGGAAGCCCTCGGTGCTGTTAAATCCAACCTCTCCCATTGCCCCAAACAGCTTGTTACGCTGCTGTTGGCAGACCTGAGCTGCTGCCCTGCGTGCCCGGCTCTGGGGGAGAGGAGCCAACCTACAGGGAAATTCAAGCAGTGCCTTCCCCAGTCCCACTGCTGCCAGCCACAGCCCACAGCTAGAGTTCACAAGGCAAAATCACACCTTCTGCTCAGCCCACCCAACTCACAAGACACGGGCTTCAAGGTATTTCACCTGCCTCTGTGTCTGCCTTTAGCAAGTCCATCACAAGGAGTCACAGGGCTCTCTGCCATGCTCGTACACAGTGGGAGCATCCTGCTCTGACTGAACAACTCCATGGATTGTGTCTTTGCATAACGAGGCTATTTTGTCTCATTTGTGACTTATCTTTATGTTTCATAAGCTGAGGTTACAAGAGGAAAAGCCTCAGATCTGTAACCTGGGAGGAGGGACAGCAGTCATATTCATTGTATTCTCCATATTAACACTGAAAAAGACAATTAAGGAAGGTAGATTTGCATTGTTCCTTCTAAATGCAATTCTTTGTGAAATTTTTAAAAAGGCAGCAATGACAGGGACCTGTTGCAGGAACTGAGATTATCCTCTGTGGTTCTTTCCTCACAAATTCAATGGAGTCATGGCAAGAAGTTCATGATGCACATTGCTGCCTCTGAAACGAGGATATTTAGGTCATCCATATCATATCCAAGACATGCCAGTATTATTCATGTCCCCACTGCTGAGCATGGGATGGGTTGAAGGCGCGGTGCTGGTGACCCTTGGTGTGCATGAGTGTTGGCCCGTTGGTTCGTATTTCATTGCATGACCCGGTTACACGCTCTCTTTGCTGTCACTGGGCAAGGAGAATTGAATTGCAGTGCTCAGATATTGCCTTAGGAGTGACAAAGCAAGTGGAAGTGGCTTGGGCATCTTAGGAAATATAAGCAGGAGGGGCAATCTGGAGCTTCTGTGCTTAGGGTAACCGCCCGTGTCCTTCTAGTTCGCATGACAGCTAGCACTTAATCACCAAGGAAAACAAAAAGGATTGAACCGACTGTGTGTTGCAGAAATAACCAGGTCACCTCCCATGCTCTGATGAAAAAAAGATGGGGTTTATGAGTGTGTTTCTGCCTGGGTCTTGACCGCAGCATCCTTTCTCCCTCACGCCCATCATGTCAGCGATGGGAACACGGTTGTGCAGTGACATCTGAATTCAGCTATAAGCAATCCTGTCTCTTGCCCTGCATGGGAAAAGTTAACTGGGCTTCTGATTTGTATGGGCGAGTGCTTATTCCTCCGTAAGGTGGCTGGTGGGGCTGTAAGGTGGCTTTCCTTAGGGTATAAAATATTTGCAGGCATAAGGATTTAAAATACTGGTTTCAAAATAGGAAGTGGTATGAAGGAGCCAGTATTTCAAGGGTGTCTCCCTTAATGATAGACCCAACATGAAGTAGAGAAAAGCAGCACAATGTGTCCAAAAGCAGGGGAAGTACTTTATGAGACATATAATCTTCTAACGCCTCGAAGCAGAGCAAGCACATCTGCCCCATCACAGCAGCACAGGTGCTTCTGGGGGGGCCCTGGGGCCGCTTTAAGGGACTAAAAGGGTCTTTTGCTGCGGATTTACAGGCAGGAGGGGGATTATTTGGGGGCTTTAAGTTCTCGCTCTTCCTTTAGCAGCAGCCTGTGCTTTACATGTGGTACCCAGAGAGTGCCTCCTGCTCCTTGCCCCTCAGCCATGCTCTGCCTGAGCTGTTGGAGGTCTCCTACAAACCATGAACAATGGGAAGGGAGAGGGAAGCGAGGAAGCGAGACAACCCTGGCGTTAGCTGGCACTGGGATAGCTGGAGTGCGTGCATTGGTTTGTGCTGCATGTATATTCTGGTGACGACTGAACACCGAGAGTCACTGTTTCTTGGGAAAGCACTCTCATTTCCTAACAGGTATTAATACAAATTAACCATCCGTTTGAGCAAAGCAGAAGGATTTCTGTAGGATCCTTACACAGTCTGGCTCCTGTAGGAAAGTCAGCTTCACCTAACCAATACGCCCAGCTCAGGAGAGGTCCTCAGCTTGTATTTCTTAGCCAAAACTGATGCCACTCGTGGTGCTTCCAGTGCCATGAGGCACAGCCGAACCCCGCCGCTCCCCGCTGGGGCTGTGCAGCCTGGTACGGGCTGGCGAGGTGTCGCGTGGTAAGTACAGTGATCTCCAGGCTGATGGCTGCAGCAGATGATGTATTGGTTTAACCCACGAGCAGCGTTCATGTGTTTCTCTGTGCTTTTGTTCTAAATCTGCAAGGGTGATAAAAATGCCAGGCAAAATGTTCTGTGAGGGAGCCTGCTTAAAGAACGGTTGTTTGTGTTTGCTTTTTGTTCCCCTGACTGCCCTACGCTTTCTTCTCTCCTCCCAAGGGCTGTGGGTAGCCAAGGATCTCCTGTACAAAACCTTCGCGGGTTTCTACGTGGTTACAATTTTGACTCCACAAGTAGCAAAGAGGAGCTTTGCTCTGGAGCTCCCACACCAGCCAGTACACACCGGGTTAGCAAAAACAGCACGCAGATGTGGGATGATCCAGATAAGTGACGTCTTGCGACTGAGACACATTTAAGTAAATGCCTTTGTACGTTTGTACATGATGACGTCTTCCCCGTGTGTCGGTACGAGGCGCAGTGGGGAGATGCTCGGTCATTTCAAGCCAGGTAGCAAAGCCCGTGGTATATGGCACAGCAAATCGCACGCGTCCTGTTTTACTCTGGGTCGGATCGGGTGTTTCCTTCATCCACGGAGCTGCTCTTTATGTAAATAGAACATCCAGCATCAGCTGAAGTATATCAATGAAAAGGAAAGTGTTAATCAATAAAGTGCTGGGCTCAATTACGCTGCCAGCACGGGCATGGAATGGAGCGGGAGAGGGGTGAAAACCCCCGGCTGTCTCCTGCAACACTCTGAATTTCCAAATCCAGGGGGAGGGGACACACACACACTGCACAAAACCCCTCCGGCAACGATCCCGTGCAGCCCTGTTCTCTCTAGCATCTCTCCAGCGGTGGCTGTAACCCATCTCGTGTGTGCAGTAGCGGGTTTGGGGAGTGCGGTCCCAAGGAAATGCCGCTGGGAAAAGCCGAGGAGCCGGTCTGGTCTGTACCGTGCTTTGCCTTTGATAACCCCCTGACTCTTGGGTGTCCTTCGTCCTCACCGCGCCTGCTCTCTCCGCTACCCGGCTCCCGGCTGAGAGATGGCCACGCGACCGGCGTGCGCACAACGGCCTCGCGCGCCAAGCATCGCCAGCCTCGGCGCCTTCACAGCCTTTCCTCGGCCGTCTGACCTTACCTAGCCAAACAAAGGCCAAAAAATGAGCATTTGAGAGACCAACCAAATTTGGCAGGTATGAAGCTTCTCTTGAACCGAGAAAAAAAAAAAAAACCACAAAAGCAAAATGAGTTGGGAGTTGAAAGCAGCGGGGAACATGACACTTGGTTGACTTTGCCGTGAGCTCTTTCCACCACCATAAAACCATGTGGCGGACTTTGCAACTCTAACTGGTCTATTCTTTTCATTCCTCTTACCTCCCTCCTTTTCTTTCTCATGTGTTTTTGCATGACCTATAACCAAAAAGCTGACTTCTCACTGTGCCTGCGTTTGAACGTCTGGCTCTTCTGCTGGCGAGTAGCTAATGTTCTCCTAGAGGCATGAGCTAACATCCGTGGTTGCTGCCTGACCTCTAGTCTGGTTGTTCTAGGTGCCCTTCATTACCTTTTCCCTTTTTATACTACTCCCTCTTCCTTTTCCACTTTTTTTCCCTCTCTGCCAGACACTCTCTGTTGAGCCATCTCCCAAGAGAACTAAAAAACAAAATTAAAATCATTAAAATCCCAACAACAGACAACAGCACTAAACCAAATAACAAAACCAAGCAAAGGTCACGGCAAGGTCATTTCCAAAATTATGTCACCTTGATGTCTGCTTCCAACTCTAGATTAATTCAAGGATCTACCAGTCCTTGGTTAATGTATCCGACCAGTTGTGTGCCACACACACCCAAGAAAGGGGAAAAAAAAAAATAAAATATTAATGAAACTCTTTTAGAAAATCTGCATGAGCTACACCGACACATAAATCTGATCAAAGGGCAAAAGTAACTCCCCATCCATGCATGGTGCATGATGATTTCTGTGAGCTGGGATCCTGTAAATTATCTGCTAAGCAAAATCAAAACAGCTCTGCATAGTTAAATGCCCTTCAGTTACTAACTGTACGTCAAACGTCATAGGGATTGCATCTGTGTATGTGTACGTTCAGCTGTATGTATACATAAATATATTATGTATATTGTAGCTTTTCTTTTTTTGTTTTCCTCCTTAATCCCTGAGCCTGAAATTCTATTTTCTTTAAGCTTCTGAAAAAAATGTTTATTTTATTCCTCCTTCTGTTGCAGAACCGCATGCACGAGTCACTGAAGCTTTTTGACAGCATCTGCAACAACAAATGGTTCACAGACACCTCTATCATCCTCTTTCTAAACAAGAAGGACATATTTGAGGAGAAAATTAAGAAATCTCCACTGACTATCTGCTTTCCTGAGTACACAGGTAATGAGAAAGCTGGCTGTACAGGAGCAAAGGGATGAGATGACGGCGCGTTTCCCACCCAGGTTGATGCTGTCGTGGTTTGCGGGCGGTGAGGCTACAGATGAGCTCCCATTCGTTTCCCTGCGAGTTCTGTTTCAGTCAATGCCATAGGGTCGCCCCCGCCACCTTTAGTCGTCCACTTTAAGGCATGAGGGTGACTTAAAAGCAAGTTCTTTGCCGGGAAAGGGCCAGCACCGCTCATCAGCGTGTTGGATCTCCGAGAGACAGGTCTGTCTCTCAGAAAGGCGCAGTGAGCTTAACCATCACGGACTGGTCTGTGGGAGGCCAGCATGCCGGGTGTGTCAGGCTGTCCTCAGCTGGGTCCAGCTTTGCTGTTTCACAGCCCATCATGTTCCCCCGTGATCCTCGCTGGCCGGGACGAGGGTCACTCTGCAGTGCCTGAGCCCCACAGCCATGCACCCAGGGGCTGCGGGCTCAGCCCTCCTGCACGCAGGCAGTTTGGCTGCTTCAGCTCAAGCTGTACATACATTTTTATCACGCTAATTCAGAAGGGACCCAGTTTTGCTCTCAGGCTCGCTGACATCGAGCATCAGGACAGGGAAACGCTTCCTGTTAAATGCAGGTAGGAAACAAGGCGGTTGGCTTTGTCATGCACTGGCCACCCACACCACAGTGCAGACAGAGAAGAGCCACCGCAGGCCATGCCCTGAGCTTGGCTGGGGACCAGGAGCCTTAGCAATACCTGGAGACCAGAGCAGAGGCTCTGCAAGAGGGCAGCATGCAGGAAGCCCTCACTTCTGCTGCCTGCCTGGCATCTGACCCGCTAATGATGAGAATACATCACCCGTGCAAAGGCTGCAGCTGCACCCCGCCACTTCCCGCTGCATCTCGCCAGCTTCCACAAACGCTCATTACCATTCCGAGACAGCATAAAAATAAACTTTTATCGTCATGAATTATTTAAGCTCACCGGAGACATCCAGATGAATCAAGGCGACAGACAGAGAAGCAGATTTTGTCAGGAAACATAGTTGTGAACCGGGAGTACCAAGAGTGTCACATTTCTGGGCAGGCCAACAAATTATTAACCAGAGCTTCCTATCTCTGGGCACTTGATTTTTCACTGTGAATCGGCAAAAGCGATCCATCATTGCTGCTTAGGGCTGAAGGGTCTATGGCCACCGAGCTGAACGACTCCATCTGAATTCAGAAGAACATCTGCAGGCTTCCTCTCCGGGGAAGGTTCAGATGTCTGTCCCTGCCAACACGTTTCAGTCATCTACTCACCTGCTTGGTCCAGACAGAACCGACGTGTTGCTGACACGTTTGTCTAAAAAGATCTAGTAACAGAAATGTCACAGACTTTACACTTGAGAGCTCGCAATAATGCCAACCCCAAATTTTTCTGGTCACAAATTAGATTGCTGCTTGCCATCTTTGGGTTGGCTCGTAGAGCAGCTCATCACCATCCTCTTTACAGCAGCACTTCTGTATACTGGAAGAGTTTTGTCATGCCCTCTCTTCCCTTTTTCTCCATGATGCAAACCTGCACCTACCGCTCCTTCCTGATCACACTTTGTGCCTGTGGTTTTGTAGATCTTCACTGAAGCCTCCCAGTTACCCCACGTGGAAATAATATTCTTACATATCCCTGAGGGCAGAGACTGGAACAAGAAGGAACGTTGTTTTAGATAGAACTTTTCCTATCCCAGCTGTCCCAGCCCAAGAGAGGAGGTCGGTGGGGGAGGCACACTCTCGTACACAGGTAGCTAAGCTCTCAGCTGACTATGCAGAGGAGAACACATATAGCTTCTTTCTGGAGCACTTCAGCTCCAAGTGAACCAAACTATTCCTCCCCAAAACTTGGAGTACCCCAAAGGTGCTCTAAATTTCTTCGAGGTGCTGTTCTGGAAGCTGGGAGTTATCACAATGCCCTCTACAGACAGGTCTCTCTTGTGCCATCAGGGAGGGCTGGAAGACTGAAAGTCCTTCCACTCATCCAACAGGGATCTGAATTGGAGGTGGACAATATCTCACCCCGTTAGAATGCCGTTAGAAGTTGGCAGTTAGCTGGTGCTAACGTTGAGCCCAAGCGCACACTGAAGCCTGCTCGCCCCTGCTTTGCTGCCCACGGCTCAGAGGGTGAAGCCCTTGCAGCCTTGTGAGCAAGCAGCATTATTAGAAAGTTGCCCTGGAGTTACAAAGAATTATTTGATGAAAGGCTGTAAATCAAACGAGCAGACTTTCAACATCACAAGTCGGTTCCACAAAATACTTTTAATATAATGATGTTTCTGATGTCCATTAGTTCTGCTGAGAGAGAATTATTAGAAGACTGCGTCTACAAATTTGCTGGCTGTATGCTGGAGCACTGACTGTTTCCATCCCCTAATTCACTCATGCTTTTAACTAATCCGCAATACTTGGCAAAGCAGCAGCAGAACCCAGGGAGTGTTTTAAAGCAAGCTGGCATTAGTGATTCCCTGCTCTCTCAAAAGGAATCCAGCATCTAAATCCTCATGCCTTTGAACGACCAGCTTCCCTCCCATAAAATACCCCCCTGGTGCCGCACAGCATCTGCTTCCAGACTCTTTACACAGGTCTTTAAGCAACAACCTGCTCCCAGCAAACATGTTGCTTGTCTTTAAGCATATTCTCAAGTCTCCTGATCGTCACGAGCTTGTGTCTTCCGCTAGCGATGCATGCACGTGTAGATGCAAGTGATTTCCCAGGTCAGCTGCCGTCAACCACAGCAGATCTCAGGCCCAAGGAAGCGCCTCTCTGGCAGATAACGGTATTTCCCATCAATAAAGCACCACAAGGGGCGAGGGATGGAAAAGCCTTATCGGCGTTATGGGAGTGGAACCCGGTGGGGCTCAGGGACCCCGGCACTTGGCAGTAGCCAGCAGTGCTGGAGTTCTGTGCTCCAGGCCGGACAGAGGGACGGAGCTTCTCAGCCCCAAGCTGGGTCCTGAGCGGAGCTGTGTGCGAGCAGCGTTCAGGCCGGCCGGATGAGAAAGGGTCTGCCCTTTGCATGACGCCTCTTACGCTTCGTTACCACCAAACCTGATGGTTAGTGAGCTTTGGCACAGATATCTCTGTACATCAATACAAGAAACTCCTCGTGCCGTGATTTTAGCTAAAGCTCTAGCAGAGGGTGCTGTGGTCCTAATTCCTCAAAAAGAGGGATATTTTGTGTTAGCTCTTTTATATTTTCTTTTGAAAAATACGCACTTTGCTCTGTAACGCAGGCTGGATCTTTTCATGTCCTTTCCTCTTAGCGATTCAGGGAAAGGAGGGCACACTTATCAATACTGCCCTCAATTCATGGATGTTTTAGTTCCTCTTTTCCACCAAAAGCTTTTTTTTTGATCAAAAAATCTAAAAGAGGAAGAAAGCTAAGCTTTTTCACCAGGTCGAGCACTTGCCGCATTCCTGGCTTTTTTTTTTTCTCTCTTTTTTTATCACCACAATGTGGAATTCCTTCTGGTTTTCCAGTCATAGCCTGTTTAACACTCAGTTCCCTCAGCCGTTTCATCGCTATGGACTATAAACAGCAACTCAGAATAGCAGTACAGCTGAGGGACTGTCGGAGAGCATCTCCTTCCTTGCAGCAACCCTGGCTGGTAACAGTGCCCATCCTGAGATGGACATGGGGCGGCTGGGTTGCACCCCCCGAGTCCCTCCAACAGGGTGCTTGCAGGCACCCTGCGGATTTAGGGTTATGGGATGGCTTTAACCCGCTCTTTTTCCTTTCGTCTCGGCTCTCTTATAGGCCCCAACTCTTTCACGGAGGCGGTGGCTTACATCCAGGCTCAGTACGAGAGCAAGAACAAGTCGCCCAACAAGGAGATCTACACGCACATCACCTGTGCCACCGACACCAACAACATCCAGTTCGTCTTCGACGCCGTCACGGATGTCATCATCGCCAACAACCTGCGGGGATGCGGACTCTACTAAAGCCCGTCTCCTCCCCTCCTCTCCTCACACCCGCCGGGAGCATCCTCCGGTCCCGCGGACAGGTGAAAAAAACTTTCCCTTTTGTTCCTCCTCAGAAGATGGTGAGGAAGAAACACGTAAATCCCTCCTCCTGTCCCAGAAAACTTTGCAGCAAGTTCTGCTGTCCTCAGCCCCATTTTATTTTATTTTGGGTTTATTTTTGGTTCATTCCCTTGCTGCCTCGTTCTACTCCTCCGTTCCAATTCACAGTGCTGTAGAGGGAGCTAACGCCTTTCCCACAAAGTGCTTTTCAACTGCCAAAAGACAAAAATACTTCAGTTTTTTTAAAAAAAAAAAGAAAAATGAAAGCCTTAATATACTGGTCAGCAAAAGTGTAGTTTGGAACCAAAACCTTTTGTTTGTACCTTGAAATTAAGGGATATTTTTAATTTTCCAGGTTATTTATCTTTTTTAAAAAAAAAACACTATGCCTTTGGGAAGTGCTAGTTACAACATGATCACTTTGAGGGTACCTTACAGCTCCAGTTCCTCCCCAAAAGCCAGAGGGGTTGGTGTTGAAACCAGCCGCCGCAGCTTGGATTTGTATATCCTCCCTTTTTTTCCAGACAGCTATTTTGAACAAGTGAAACAGCCATATCAAGTTCTGCTGGTGTCTAAGACAGACACAGTAACAAAACCTACTAAGCCTTGTCTGAAAGCGTTCGTTACCGGTAACAGTTTTACCTCAAGTTTTTCAGAATTAATGTCAAAATATGTCTAGTGGTTTGAGTAATCCGTTTCTTAGGCGTTTTGCCGGATGCCCCGAGCAGAGTGATGGCAGCTGGGCTCGGACCCCCAGAGTGTAGGCAGCAAGGGTGCCCCTGCATGGCATCCTGGTGGGGGACCCCACACATGGCGAGGGCCAGCCTGGGTACCCAGAGACCTTTCCCAAAGTGCCTCCCAGCCTCGGGATTTCAGCACAGCCGATGTCCCTGCAAACGCGTGGCATTTGCTTTCCAAACTTCGGCCCTAAAATGCTGGGGTGTACCAAAAATATTTAGCCCTGACTTCTTGTAGGCTGGGTTTGACCTTCCAGTACCTGGAAAGCAGAGAGGTGCTTGGGGAAACATCACCACGGGGTGACAGCGGGGTGCGCAGGAGCCTCGTGGCTCCTTATTGCACCTGGGGCATCTCACTACCCTTGAGGAGTCCAGCCTCACACCCAGGGCCTCCTTGGCCGAGCAGAAGCAGGTAGCCAGCTTCCCTGCGTCATCTCCTGCCTGGGCATCCAGGAGAGCTCCAGGTTTGGTGTCTCCAGCCTGGGCATCTCTTTACCAATATCTAAAGCGAGAGGGAGGGTCTATACTGGCCATACAGTGACGGGGGAAGGCTCAGGGAGCTGGTTTGAGCCAAGCGGTGGAGTAGGAAGGAGAGCGCAAGGAGAGGGAAGGGAGGAAGGAAGGGCAGAGGGAGAGGTGTGGAAAGGGTGAGGGTAGCTCCCAGCACAGCAAAATGTGGGAGCAGGGAGGGGAACACAAATGAGGCTGAGCTGGGGTACGGGTGGCCATCCATCTGCCGTCACCAAGAGCTCTGGGTGCCGTTGGGGTGAAGGCAGAGGGGAGCCTGAGGGGTGGGGTGTCACCTCTGGGTGTGTGGAGGGACCCTTAGAAGTCCACCCCGAAAGCTTGCTTGGCGTCTGGGTGAGACAGCCACCTCCAAGGTCCCACTCGGCATGGCACCGGGGACAGGGAGGCAACACTGGCCTCTTCTCTGCCTCTGAAAAGTCCGTGATCCTGGAAGACGAGAGTCTTTCCAGGCCACCCACAAGTTCAGCTCTCCTCTCGTGGGACCCTGGCCTAGGGGTGTCCTCGGGAGGTCTGAGTTTTCTCCAGTGCCACGCCTGAGAGAGACAGTGTCGCTGTGCTCGCTGTGCCCACCTCAGAGAGATGGTGTGAGAGCAGCCAACGGCGAAGGGAGGCGGAGAAGGAGCAGGTACAGTGGCATGGGACAGAGAGCACTGGCGGGGGAGGTTTGGGGGTTGGGTTGGGACAGAAGTTGTGGAAGGGAGATGAGGCAGGTTGCGGCAGCAGGAAGAGAGAGGAAAAGGGTCCCCATGGGAGGCTGCGCTCTGCCAGGACAGTGTTTGCAGGGCATCCATGACCAAGGGATGCCAGCCAGAGATGCCAGCCAGGGATGCGAGCCGGAGCTCCGCAGGGCAAACGGGGGAGGCCTGTGAAGGAGAAAAAGGTGGCTCTCACCCATCTCAGCAGCTCACAGTCCAGAATGGGTGGCAGCTGTGTCCATAACCTCCCAGACAGCACTAAACTGTAAAACTGGATTTAGCATCGTAGAACGAGGAGCCACTGCTGCTCTGCGGGACATAACCCCTAACACCAGGTCTCTGCCTCCCCTGCCCCAGGGAGTACCCACCCTTCACCATCTCAGCCTTAAAGTACCTCTGGCAGCATCAGCTCCCACAAAGAGCTGGCCAGCCAGCAAAGCCGGGACCCCTCTCTGCTCCTTACACTTCATCCCACCCCCATGGCTTGTTTTCCGGGGTGCCAGCCCCTCTCCCAGCTCCGTTTAATGCTGGCACACTGTGCTGTCCGACTGTAAACCAAAGGCACGCTGACCACAAGGCCTGTGCATTAAACTGTACTTGGGTTAGCTTAGGGTGGTCAGAGCCAACGGGAAGGATTTTCAAAGAAAGGAGTTTTGGTGGGAAGCACCAGCCCAGTTTTCTGGTTCCTTGGGAGGGAGCAGTTGCATGCCCTGACCCTGAAGAGATTTATGTGCGTGTTGAGCTCTGGTCCCTGGAGAATAAAGCCGAGGGAATGACAGTAAAATGCAACCAACCTGTTTGTCTTTGCAGGAAGAGGAGTTCAGTGCGTGAACAGGCAATGTGGAAATGAAATAGGCAGGACTCAAATCCAGCCCTGCCAAACTTCCCCTTGGCTCCAAGCCAAGCTTCCTGCTTGCGTACTCTCCACTGATCTCAGTGGTCATTTTGCTCCTGGTGAAAGTTGGGCTGCTCCCTGAGGTCACTGAATTCGGCCCTCGCTGGCTTTTCAAGACAGCGCGTGATGGCAGTGGGGTGGTGCTTCTGCCACACAGGGGACAAGGAACGAGCTGGCGGGATGCAGAGGGACAGGGATGCACCTGGAGCCTGTCCCATGCAGGTGACCAAGCCCCACCAGTAACGCTGAGTGTTCAAATGTGCGTTGGGTGTCAGAGTAAGGGCTGAAAAGCTGAACGTTGGTTGCATTTGGTACATAAAGTGTATGTAGCGACCAGACCCAGCGCAGAGCAGCCACGCTGGGTGCAGTGGTGCGCTCACGACTTGCGCTGGCGGCGAGGCAGGACATCATTAAGCTGTTGGGGAAGGATGCGATCAGTAGCACCAGGCGTCTGGAGGTTTTCTGTGCCCACCCCTTGCTGTAGGTGACAGCTTATCCCAGTGAATGCCCACCAAAGCTGTTCCCAGTGAAGGGAGCACCAAGCCAAGGCACGTGAGTTCCCAGCATAAAGCACATAGGAATATTTTGGCAAAGACCATTTAAATTAACTCAATCCCAGAGTCTGCAGAATGCAGCCAAGTCACTGGTGCTAGCTCAGTGCCACGTTCTGGGCTGGGTTCAGGCAACCCCTGCGCCGCCGTGCTGGCTGGGAGGTCCAAACCCCTCCACAGCTCCGGCTGGTTCCCCGGCACGTTGCTGATGATCAATGGCTGGTGCTCCACGGGGAGAAAAAGGAGGAAATGTTGACAGACGGAGCCTTTTCTTTCATTTTCTTTGGCATATTGTATATCTAAAGCTTCATTTCAGCTGCTGCTGCTGACATTCCCTCCCTCACACGAGTGTCGTGAGGATTCACTGACGGAGGGTGGGAACGGCATTGGGAAGATAAAATGCTTCCAGTGTTAAACACTACGATTGCTCCCGCCTGATGGCTGTGTATAGATTTTTGTCTCCAGAACGCCTGCCAAAGCATTACTCACCGCTGGCTCTCTGCATCCTCCCAAGCCTTTTCTGACAGATGTGCCTTCTGCAGGCAATCTTTGGCCTCCTGCTTTTTTTAAACACCAGCAGTCCTTGCAGCAATTAATTGCCTAGAAAGGAGACCTTGAAAAGCACCCCTCGCTTTCCAAAGCCCTCTCCTTTGTAGCCCCTCGTGCTTTGCAATTGCAGCGCTTCGAATCCAGACCCTCGGAGGCCCCGAGCCGTGTTGAATTTGCAGCCGGCGCATCACAGGGGTGTTGCAACTGGTAGAGATGCAGCAGAAATCGTACCGGGGCACGCGCTTTAAAAGCACAGTGACCTACAGAATTGAAACAGCTACGTATACACCCTGTTGCCTTTCAAAGCTAATGTGGAAACTTGCAAAAAACGGCTTTTTTTGAGATGCAGGAGGTTTTTTAATGATTCAGGTCACTTGCCCAGCAGAGATCCGAGGGGCATTGTGTTGAAAGCAGCGTTAGCAACTCGAGATGAGCTTCAGGCAGCAGCAAAAAGAATGAGGGAAGCTCCCTTGCTTGCTCTGTCCGTCGGGGTATGGAGCTGTGAGACCCAAAAATGCAGATAGCTCCTTTATTTAAACAACGGTTTCAATGGACCAGAGGAAAGCCTTGAAATGAGCCCGTCGATGAGGCTGCAGGGTTAAGCTGCGGAACACCGCGCGCCTCGGGAGAATGCAGGAGCTGGGCTGGAGAGGAGAGGTAGCAATAAACGCGCTGGGAAAGCACACGTTCAAACACAGCCACATCCTTCAAAGGGCAGTTTTCTCTGTAGCGAAGAGAGTCACACTCTGGTTTTCACAGAGGGCCGGAGGAGCCCAGCCGAGCAGCAGGGCAGCGGGAGTGTTCGGAGAGGCCATCTGGCCCCTCCGTCTGCTCGTCCCCATGCCCCTGCCCTCCCACAGGGCCCAGGCGCGTCCAGTGAGGGGTCAGTTGGCTTCCCACCACCACCCCTCCCCAAAATTCTTCCAACTCAGTCTCTCTCAGGAGTTTTGTACAAGAATAAGCT